TGCAGTTTCTACTGTGTGCTTTGCTGGCTGGGAGGAGCACACAGTACTGAAGTCAGCTGTAAGCAAGGAGTAAAAGGAGATTTGCAAGCCTCACGGCTGCACAGGACAGGGAGTGTCATTTCCAAGGAGCCTTTCCGGGTGGATTGAACACACTCCTCCCCTAACAGGCTAACCCGTGCCCTGCTACCTCCACAGCACCACAGTGTGCTCCATGATGTCGCTCACTGGCTGTGGGGTGGAAAGCCCACTAGTACTGGTGTTACACGGGTACATGCTGCATTCAGCTGGCAGATCTCAGAAAGGAGGGAGGGAAGAAAAGATTTGTTCTTTGCTGCCCCAACCACTGTCTTCGCTTTTTAAAATCACAACTGCATTTGAGAAAGTACAAACAAGTGCAAAGCTGAATAAGAACCAGGTAGGTATATACCATATACCATATCCCTGAGGTTGTATAGATAAATGAAGTAAACAGTATGTAATACAGCATTTTTATTTTTGCTAGTAGGGCTTAAGATGATGGACAGGCGGAGAGGTTTATGCATTTCAGGTGACAGCCCTCTATCCCAAGGAGGGCCAGAGCCCTCGGGCCCCCATGTACTCAATATTTCTGTAATACATAATGCTAATGATCATTGGCTATAACAAGCTGAACAGCATTTGGCTCAATAAATTAAAGGATAAACATTTAGCAGGTGAATGTAGAACTGAGTGACTGCACATTGCGAGCTAAGCCTGGAGTCATTAACACCTAAACAGATTGCACTTGAGATGCTTGGTGTAGCTCTGCCATGGGCTCATGAAAGGCCACAATCATCTCGGGTTAGTGTTTCAGGGCAGTGGTGATGCTGGAGGTCTTTGCAGGTCAAAATTGCTAAATTAAATAGGACTGTATGATACCCTAATGAGGTACAGTAAGATATCTTTTCCTTTCAATTTGTGTGCAACTCTTTGTAGTAAAAAAGGGAAGTGTTAATATCACTAATTGGGAACCTGACTGTATATGGGAGTTGTATGAGTTTTGTATGTACAGCTCCACTAATGAACCTCTGTCACAACCCAGGTTATCACAGTCTGTCAATGCAAATTATTCACAAAACCAAGGCTCTCTGTATCAGACATGCTGGCTTTATCTGTGGGCAGACATGCATTATGGCCCATACTAAGACTGTCAAGCTCATTTTTGCTTATAGCTAAGTGAATTTGGAATCTAGATCACTAAAGGATCTAGACAGATGTAGCAATCATGTCAATACCAAAAGATATCAGTAGACACCGTTAGGATGTACGTGTTATATGTGCATGCTTCATTAGTGATACCAAAGCATAGCAAAGCCACTGTAACTTGAACTCTGTTTCCTCCAAGGTCAAAGTTAGTGCAGCGTAGCTGCCTTGTTTCACTAAGTTTCACCATGATCCTGTCTGGGGATCTTGCAGAAGTAACATTTAGATCATAACAGCTGATGCTCCCAAGCAGCAGCTCCCTCTCCTCTTCGACGGTGGCTAGAAGGTATGTTTGTGCATGCGCAGAGCTGACCGATGGGTGAATTATCTGACTACCTCTATCCCCTTGCCTTCAAGTCCTCCTCCTTTCAGTCTTGTTGGAATCTAGATATAATCTGAAAAAACCTGCGAGTTAATCACCAGTAAAATAAAACTCAGCAGTGAACTCTCCATGATCTCAGCAGTGTCCCGTGGACAGGCTGTCTCACGCACCATGTGCTCTCTCAGGATGACACTTGTTTTTCTATCTTTGCCTTTAACATGCCTTAGTTAATCAGGAGCTAATGCTGCATTCCAATAAAAAGGTCTGGTCATATAAATGTGTTTGTGCTGTGCTATCACTGTCATTGTCATCCTCTTTCTCCTCATCGTCATGCACAACAGCATGGAGAATGTGTAGATTAAAGCACGTATTAAATGTCAAGCTTTCATCTCTCCACTTGCTACTCCTCAAATCCTTTTAAATAGATGCACTAAACTCCTATGGTAAATTATTAAAATTATTGTGCCATTAGCTTGATTTGCATGCTCTGAACTCACACAAATCTTTAATATGTCAAGATCTATCTCAGGGCCTCCCTACTCTGTCTCTCACTGCCTTTATCTCCCCCCACCCCCTTGCTTGATGCCTCCCACTCTTCTCCCCGTTTTTTGCTACAACTTTCCTACTCTAATCTCCATCTCACTTTTCTTTAACTTTTCTCTCTCTCTGTATTTTCCCACTCACTCTTTTCCTTCGTCCTCCTCTCCTCCCCTATCCTTATCCCTCTTCCTCTCTCTGTCTCATCTCTGATTCTCTTCTCTGCCTCTTCTTTAGTCCCTCTTTCTTCATCTCTCTTTCTCTCGTTCCCTTTCTTCTGTTGCAGTATTATCACTAGAGAAGACATTGTAAAAGATGGTGGCATTAGTTGTATTAAACTCCCACATTCAGATGTCAGTTGGTTACGTGATGTGGGCTTATGGAGTATCAACAAATGCACCTAAATACCAAGGCAGACACTGGTCGCATTTGAAAAGTCCATTGTCCAACTTTCAGATGTTTGCCAAGTTGTCTGCGTAGGTCTCCATTTTATTCATTCCATTTTCTTGAAGTGTAGATTGGGAGAATCCATATATAGCATTTTCAAAAAGCCCTAATTTCAATTATTAGAAATACCTTAGGCTTTGAAGGCCCAGATTTTCAGAAGTATTTAGGTGCCTAATACCTAGGGCAGGGGTGGGCAATTATTTCAGGGCTGCTTACTGAGTTTTGGCAAGCCATCGAGGGCCGCATGACAGACAGCCAGGGGCAGATATATATGAATTTTCTAAATTTTTTAGGGGCCCCGTGGGCTGGATAGAATGGCCAGGCGGGCTGCATCCGGCCCCCGGGCCGCATTTTGCCCACCCCTGGTCTAGGGGTTTACCGAACTTGAGGAGGCGGGCAGATTGTGGAACCAGCAGCCATTATCATAATAGTCCCCACCCCCATGCCCCTGATTGGCCCAGGGGCCTCAGTGGCCCCACCCCCATCACTGCTTGGTGGAGAGAGCTGTCCATCATACAACCCTACCCCTTCACCACTGCTTGGTAGAGAGGGCTGTCTGTCATGTGGCCCTGCCCCTTGCTACTGATTGGTGGAGAGGGATGGGGCTGCATGACAGGCAGCCCTCTCAGGCAATCAGCTGTGGGGGTTAGTGGCAGTAGCCATCTTGCCTGCTCTCCTTCCCCCCCATGGTGGGCTGCAGAGTTGGGCTGCAGCAGCCGTGAGGATTGCTGACTCCCACTGGGAAGCCAGGATTTTATTTTTAGTAAGGTTCCCCTCCCCACCCCCAATGGATTTCACAGAAATCACCCAATTTTACGATTTCTGCAGAATTGTGATTTGAGTAGGTCCCTACTAATGCCCCTTGAATTTCTTGGGAGTTATTTCCTTAAACATCTCTAAGGATTTGAGCTTTAGGAGCTTTACTTTGGCTGGCAAGCGCTGACATCACTTTTGAAAATGGGATTTGCCTCCTTTCGTCACCTAGGCCCTTTTGAAAATTCTTGTCCCAAACAGGTAGCATTCGAATTCGACGTTGGTGCGAGCATTAAATCTATACCTAAGAAAGATAGCAGAACATATGCATGGTGGCAAAAAGCTTGAAGGCAGCTACTATATTGTTGGTGAAGGAAGCTTTATTTTTTTTTCCATTTTCTTTGTTTATTATTGGCAATAGATGTTGTACAAGCAACACTGATTGGATGGTGCCTGTCTGGGCTATCACAGTCTGCTGTGGGTTTTGCTGCTAAGACAAAATTAGTCATTTTCCTTCCTGTATGATAATTTGATAAGAACTCTGAAGTCGAAAGCTAACAGACTTGTGGAAGGCACAGTAGGTTTATCCTGGCCCTCGGATAGCTTACCAGATGGAGAACACAGCAGGAAACGTGGCTCTCAATCGCTTACCAGACAGAGGTTGCTGCAGGGACACGCTAAATTTTATTGCACTGATTAGGAAAATACATGAGTGTCTCACTGGATGTACCGACATTCTCAGTAAGGGAGTGATTTGTCCTTCCACTAAATGGATTGAAGTGAGGCATATTTTATGGGAATTCCCAAGCAGTCTCAAATGAGATGAAAAACTAAATGGAACAGGAAGTACCGTATTCAAGGCAAAAACGTACAGACAATAAGTAACTTTATCTTGGCAAGCTGCACAATGGCAAGAGCTCTGTTTTTGGAGCATGCAGTCTCCTCTGGACTGTGAGATTCTGAGCACACTGTTGGATATTGTGCAATAATAATGATAATGATAACTGATATTCACGTCATCCATATTTAAACCTTCGCTTTTGGTAGGATGGAGTTTTAGGCGGATCTATTTATTCGAAGTAGAGTAGAAAGAATTAAGTAGAATTCTTTGCAGGGTCATTCAGTGCCTCTGTCCTACTATGCCAAGGATCCAGAAGACGAGTAAATCTTCTGGGAAGTATCTTAATGTTTTCATCTTCTATAAGGACAAGGAAGCTGAGGCAGGATAGCTTGGTAGAATTCTTCATTTTATTTTTTGATTCTGTATCAAATAAGGAAGCGGTGATAAGTGTGAATATGAAGAGGATTTCTATTGCATTGGCTTCCAAACCGTTCTGTATCACGGTGTTGGTGTTTCTTGTTTGCATTGTCTCTGTCTCCTCTTCTCCAGTGGGTACTGGGCATGAGACTGAGTGACAGCTGTGTCTTCTGAAGACCAAGAGGAAAGCTGCATAATGGATGAGTCTTTGTGTACTGAAGAGGAGACCAAGTGATGTGTGAGCCATCCCCATTGTGGATCTAACTATATATATCACTGATGTGCTGCCAATGGTTCTCTTTTTCTTTTAAAGTCATTTGTAGCAGGAAGTCCAGCTTAACTGAAGTAGATAGAATATATTCGTGCTAAAGGGATCTTATTTCATGTTAATGCTTATAATAATAATTATTATTTGTGCCTCCCTCATTTTGTATCTTTCTTCTACATTGTGCTGATATTGAGGCAATGGACAGCTGGTGGGATTTTGCTTCGAGTGGTTGGTGGCAGTGCCCATCTAATGTATCTGAAACAGAAACACGGCTACCTTCAGTCCAAACCATTCAGCAGAGCTATGAATCTTAGAGGAATACCCTGAGGCATGAAGCAAGACTGCAGCAAGAATAAATGATACCCCTCATGGCCCTTGCATCCAAAGTTTCCAAAATGCTGTGCTGTCTATAATGAACAAAACCTGCATGGTGATGTAGGTATGCATACCTTTCCTCCTTTTTAGATGGGAACACTAAGCCACAAAACAATGAAGGTCCAAAAGTTTAAAAGCAGACCATGGATTTGGGTGTGCAAATTTAGACACCTGTGTGGACAAAACTTTCAAATGTGCCTGCCTAGACATTGGCATCTAAATCCATTTTTATGCATCTATGTAAAAGGTCTGGATTGTGTTCCCACTGCATGCCCAGAGCTCCAACTGAAAGCAGTGGGAGGAGTGAGGGCTTAACACCTTTGCAAACCAGCCCCTTGTTAGCTAAAATTCATCACCCAGAACTTAGAGGCCACTTCTGAAAATTTAGCCTTCAGTGCCTTGCTAAAGGCCATAAAGAACTGGTGGCAGATCCAGGAATAAAATACCAGCTCACCTGGTTCCTTAAACAAATAATGATTTCCCTATTGCATTTTGCACTCTGGTTTTCATTTTAAAAAAAGAAACAGCACAAAAATCCCTCTATTTTGGTTCAATAGCACTCTGTGCACTGCATTTATCCGTGCAGAAAAGCACTGTTCTGCCCTTGCTGTTGTTAATTTTGGTAGCAGGCACCATATAGATGCAGGGGGAGAGGCAGTTGCAATTGCCCCTTGTAATCTAGACATGTACAAAGAAAGAGAATGAGATACAACGTGCGCTCAGCGCTCACAGTAATTATAGGCACACAACCTGCTATTTCCAGCTTTAAAAAAGTTATCATTTATATGTAACAGTTTCTATTGTATAAATATTATTTATATTAACTCTCACGCAGCTGTTTCTATATTAATAAACAGTTAAGACCAGCATTTTCTGTGTTGCGGTTTCTTTTTGAATACCACCAGCCTGCGAACATCTGCAAACAAAATGCGGAAGTCCGAGGGACCCAGATAATTCACCACTTCCAAAATAAACTTCCTCCTCTTCATCACGAGGACAACACCCTGTGCGTTTCTATTTCTCATAAAGGAACAACCAAATGATCCACAGAGACAGTTGAACCTTGTGCTAACACTGCTGTCTAAAATACGGTGCTCGGGTTCTGCTTGGCTCAGTCCTGGTACATTGGCAGGAATCCGGAGCAAGGTAATGGAAACGCTTGCAAGGCACTGGCAGGATTGATTTCTGTACCATCACAGCGAGTCTCCTCTTGGCACTGCCAATCCTGACTAGTACTCTGGCAGTGGGAGCCTCTTCACATCAGTGTGTTGGCAGGGCCGGCTTGACAGCTGAATAACAACTCATCCGTCCAGAGGACTGTTCCTGTGCTGTTCTTGGAGTCGCTACGAGAAGTTCGCTGCCTGGCCTGCCTGTGGAATTCCACCTGACAAAGAGACCCCAGGTTTCAAAGCTAAACTTGCTTAGTGGATGTTGTTGGAATAATAATAAACTCCGAGTGTTTTATCTGTGCCAAAATGAAGCTTTAGATCTGACCTGGTGATGAGCATTTTATGGAACCCTGGTTCTGAAGCCTGGAGGGATTTTTTTATCCTTGATCAGTGGAGAGAGTCGCCAGCATATGAAAATACGCAGGCTGAGTGAAAATAGAGCAAAGCTTTAACTGCGAGGTGTTTTGTTCAGTCAAAAAATATAGCACAAAATAGGAAACATGTAGAAAGATTGGTTTCTGTGCAACAGCCAGGAGAAAGCTACACCCAGAGAGAGAGGAAGGGAGAAGAGGGGAGCAGAATGTTTCTTTTCATGTAAAAGGGGACTGTTTCTTTCTTCTGCATCCCCAGAAACCTTTGAAATAGTTGGGACCAGCTGGTGGTTATTATTGGATTAAATCCTACAGCTAAAGGATGTCTTGTATACTAAGCACTAAAAGACACTGGTAGGGAAGCCATTCTTTAACTGCTGCGATAATTCTTATTTCTTTTAGCCCAAGCGATTGTTCAAGTCAGTCTGAGTTTGTGACTTCACACTTGCAATTCATGACCGACACCACAGTCATACCATGGCACATCACAACCTCTGAATGTGTTGGGTTACAGCTCCACATGTGCTGGGGTCGTAAACTAGATAGTGCTCAGAAAGATCAGATAGAGAAAATGGCTGCACATTTCAGAGCTATTTAAATCTGTCATTCTTAATTTTTTTTTAAGTGAAAACAGCCTATCTGCAGAAGTGTCAGAGGAAGGAAGGATAGAGGCAAGGCATAATGTGCTTCAGGCAAGCAGAAAGTATGTGCGCTGCAGGGAATATCTATTTAAAACCTTTCATGGCTAATGCAATATATGTATTAGTTTCCTACTGGATTTCCTTGCCCTCATCTGTTTCCAGACCACTGCACCAAGCTTCCAACCTCTCAGTAGCGTTTAATTCCCTCTGCAGCATTACACTAAATTAAATAGATGTGAAATCACTGGCAGGGTGCTGCCATCGTATCTACTGTAAACATCTGGAGCACCTCTGGAAAAGACAACTGAGTTACTCTTGGCTTATGTTGCTATGAAAGGATGTGGCAGAAGGGTCCTGCAGAGACAACGCCCTCAGTAGCTAAAAGGAAAGGAATGCTGCACTCCTCAGAAGTCGTCTCACCACCACACTAAGCAGCAATACTGTTAAGTTTGGAAAGAAGTGGATACTGTTTGTGATGTGGGAGGTGGGAGGTATAAAGAAGGAAGCAAATGGAGAGTTCCTTCAGCTCCTGCAATGGCAATGCAGGACCGCTCTGCTTGGATTTTTAATAGCCTGTATATACCTCATAATCTTTGGCTGATAGGAACTTTAAGCTTCTAGACGTGGGTCTGCTTGATAGAGGCATTTTTAATGTCATGAAAAATGTATCTGTGGTGAAAGTTGCAGTAATAAGTGAACTCTTCTCTGAATCATTTCTTGGAGAAATCCCTTACTGAGGTCCCAAAGGAGTCCTGGCAAAGGATTTAATGGCTTCTGGGTCAAGAGAGCTGGCTTAAAGAATTTGTGCTTTGTTGTGAACTCCAAAAAAGAGTGTGTTGCGCTTTCAGGGGTCCAGCTGTGAATATTGTGGTAACCTCCCCAAAAAACAGGGATCTGTGGAGTTATTTTCCTAGACACAGAAGGCCAGGCCTGTGTGGGTACAAGGGGGACTACCCATTCTTATATAATAAAGGGCTTAGTCCATCTGTCTGTCTGTCCATAATGCTCTCGGAGCACTCTGATTGGTTAGTGAAACAACCAATTAGAATGCGGAGCGCCGCCATGACAGAGGGAACGGAGGGGGTGGGGGTGAGGCCAGCGCTACTGGCTTTGCCCCCCTGCTCTGTCCCCACTGTCATGGTGGTGCTCTGCTGCCTCCAAGGAGCAGGGCCGGGGATGGGGGGAGGTCGAGGCCAGTGGCACTGGTGGTGGCAGCGATGCAGGGTGGTAGCTGAGGAGGATGGAGAGGATGGTGGGGCAAGCTGCCCCCCCCTGCTCCTGGGAGGTGGTGGCATGGGGTGATCGGTGGTGGTGCTCCGTCCCTGCCTGCCCCTGGCCCCCCCGTCATTCTTGATGGGCAATTGGCTAGTAGTGACATATTGTGCCAATGTTGTGTATTTTGTGCCAAGCTTTGGTTCACATTTGCTCCATCCTTGCAAAGAAAAAGGCCAGAAACTTGCATTTAAGTGACTGAAAGCTAAGAATCTCTTAGACCAGGGGTCAGCAACCCCCGGCACGCATGCTGAGCATGGCACGCAAGGCCATTTTGCTCGGCACACCACTGCCAGCCTGGGCTCTAAGCAGCTGCTGCCAGCCATGGAGCCCAGGCTGCTCCCAGCAGGCGGCCGGGAGGCTGCAAGCCCTGCTGCAAGCAGACCGGGCTCCGTGGGCCGGCTGCAGCCAGGAGGCTCCAAACAGCTGCTCCGGGCTCCGGCATGTTGGCACTCCGGCACCTTCCAAGGAAGACATTGTGGCTTTTCCGGCACTCCGGCCAAAAAATATTGCCTACCCCTGTCTTAGACCTTGTTTTCAGTAGCATGTTTTTCAGAATAACTAGATTTTGGAGGATATACTACCTTGAATCCACGCACAGGTTTTATTAATGAATCTGGTTTTGAAGTGAAACAGCTCTTTTATGTAATGATTTTTTTGGAGTAAGCTTTTTGTGGAAACATCTGTATTTTAGATTAACTATTTCACTTCTAGCAGTCCTCCCACTGCTATCCACACTGCGTATTTTCATTGCTGTCTGCCTATCTGTACACCTGTGCATTATCTTGACAAGAATTCACCTATTCCCTTAAATGCTGAGACTCTGCTACACATATCCCTTTGAAATTCTGGCTTGTGTGAGCTCACACATGCAAAGCCACATATCTGCAATTGCACCCATATCCTGTGGATAATCCCATCCAAAAGTCTTGAACTTGCTCACCCTCTGACGGCAAGAGCCCATGCAGGCTCCTCTGAACAGCAGTTGGTGGAAAGCCAAGATCTTCAAGCAATCAACAGAGCAAAAGTCACTCCCGCTCTACTACAAAGGGAAGGGATTATGAGAGTGCTAGGAACAAAAATGGATCTTTAGGAATGCTCTCCTGACCTGCACAAACTATAAAGAGCCGGACCTAGATCTTTTGTGAGAGGCAACCACCAAACTTCAGTATGGGTTTGTGGACAGTTTGGGGAGGAGGGCCTAGACTGGCACCACAGCAACCACAGAAAGCACCAGCGAGCAGCATGGCACGTGCTTTTGCTAGTTAATCTGCAATTAAAACAGAAAAACATCTGAAAAAGCCTTCCCTTGCAGACAAGGCCTTGCGTTTCTACCTCCCCCAAATTAGGACCTCACAGACCTCACTGGTTCAACCCAGCGACTTCCAGCATTAGCCAGACAGCTTTGAGATTCCTGAAGCTGCAGAGGGGAGAAATAGTACACTGAAGAGTACTCTTACGGCTGAAGAGAAACAGTATATTGCTTTTTAACTAGTTAGTTACTGATTAACAGAAACACATTATGAAGTGCACTTTTGTTCTCAGGCAGTCAGAACAGCACACGGGTGTGTTCCTTCAAAATGTACCTAAAGGAAATCTGAATAAAAGCCTGGGCTCTTTATATCCCATAGGATTTCAAGCCTTGAAAGGTCCTTTGGGGAGTTATTACAGCAAGGCCTTTCCCCTTTACAATTCCATCCAAAAAGCTACAATTCCCTCCTTGAGCTGAACACCCCGGAGGGAGCTGATTCAGCCTTTCTTTTCCATGTCTGACAGTTTTGTGCTGTGGGTCACATCACTGAATCTTTCAGCGCTGTCCAATCTCCATCTGTAAAATTAGGGTGTTTCCTTTCTTTCAGGTTTTCTCCGTCTTGTCCGTTGTGATTGCAAGCTCCTTAAGGCAGGGACTGTTTCTTACTATGCATATGTATCGGTCCAGTATAATGTGACCAAGGTCTCAGTTGTGGTCTCTTGTCATTACTGTAATATCAGTAAATAGAGACGCTGTTAGCATAGTCCTGGTGAGAGGTGGAGTCCACCCAGCAACGCAGTGGATAAGACTTGGAGACAAAGCTTAGAGCAGGGGTCAGCAACGTGCCAAAAACACCTGCAATCTCATGTTAGCATGCCAGGGGTGGACGACAGGGGAGCTGCAAGGGACCGATTCTTCTTGTGGCAGTGCAGCCCTGGCCCCTTCTGTGCTGTCTGCCAAGCAAAATGCCTTCATGTGCCACACTCTGGCACCCATGCCAGGGGTTGCCTACCCCTGGCTTAGAGTTTACTATAGAAATGTAACATTTGGAGTGCCAGAGCTCCGTAAGCGGTATCTGGGAAGATGCTTTGTTGTTTGCTGATGTGCTTCAATACATGCTTTCCCACCTTGTTGCCTGTCCTATATGTAACTTTCTCAGATGAGCTGGCCACAAAGCAGGAGTTGGCAGGAAACTGCTTAGCAACAGCTAAAAGATCAGATGACAACATTTACTTGAGTTGAGAACATTTCCAGGCTCTGAGGGTATAACGTACACAGACCCACCCAACCATACAGACAGGCGTCTGTACGCACATAGCTACTTACATGCATGCTCAGCCTGATGCACACACAGCCACATCAAGCAGGCATGAACAGTAAGTTCTTTGCACATGCATATAGCTAAGCTTGGCGAGCCAGTTGCGGTCACTGCCAGATGCACCTTTGTTGCTTGCATACAAGGATGAAGCTAAGACAAGCCGAGGTGGGAGAGTGAAAGCCCCACAAAACTTTGGCTAGTGCATGTCTTTGTGCTGAGTACTGCAGATTCAAGTCCCTTCCTTCCACTGCGCTGCATCTGTCTCCACGGCATCATGCGGCACACTAACCATTTTTAAAGAGGAATTGTACGGGCCATCACAGAGTTAACTGGGCAGCTGAATCATCACTCAAAAGTAATATGCAATAGTTCATGGAGCCTAGATAGCACCTCTCGAAGCTGTCACTTTTCAGATGAGCCGCAGACAGGTTGCACTTCAGCACAAACAATTCTGAATATAGGGCAAACTCAGCTTTCCTGAGAGGTGCTTCCAAGTTCATCCTGTGTGACAGGACAGCTCAAAATGCTAAGCAGGATGGAAACCCTCCTGAGTCAGTTCGCCTGGTATTTATTTGCTGATTTGTTTCCCTTGCTAAGGAGGAGAGCTAGAGATGGACGACTGCCTGGAGACGCTGAAAGATGAGGAGGAAGCCTTGTGGGAGAACGTTGAGTGCAATCGGCACATGCTAAGCCGGTACATCAATCCGGCCAAGTTGACCCCATACCTACGGCAGTGCAAAGTGATCGACGAACAAGATGAAGACGAAGTGCTCAACTCGCACATGCTGCTCTCCAAAATTAGTCGAGCAGGTAACTGTCTCCCAAGCGACTAGGTTTGCACGCTGCATCACTTGTACCGGACCTGACGGAAAGCCTGCATCAAACTGCAGTTTATCAAAGGCCCCCTGTCAAAGGTTCCCTTTAAATTAGAGTCTTGAGAAAATCTGGCATTGCTGCAGATGAAGAGCTGTTTAGTAATGGTAACTGTTGCCAAGCTAGTGTTGCGCAGATTGGTATGCTACCAGTTTGCATCCCCAGTATCCCTTAGGCAGTACACTTCAGTTATGACAGACAGCAACCACTGGGATGGGGGTCCCCACAGGTCTCTATCAATGGAGCTCACTGCTGGCCCAAAGTCTTCTTTTGAACTGAGCCCTCTTGCCACTTAACAGTGAGAGGTCTACAATCCTGGCAGGACAGGACACTAAAAGCTTCAGTAAATATCACTGTCTCTCTAAGGCTGGGTTCCAAATGCTACCTTCCCCTTCCTCCAGTCCTTCAAGGTACCAGCCAACACAAACACCGAGAACACATTGCATAGCTTCACGAGACTATCTGCGCTTAGTGTCACTGAGCTACAAATAGTTTTCCGTAGCATATGGTGTAGCTGGGACAGCTAAATCTATAACAGGGTCAACCTCAAAGGTCCAATACTGGATTATCTTGTTTTCAGTGTTTCCATGTTCTCTTCTCATTGTATTATTTTTGGATAGGCCGACTCTTGGACATTCTGCACACAAAGGGCCAAAGGGGCTATGTGGTTTTCTTAGAGAGCCTTGAATTTTACTACCCTGAACTCTACAAATTGGTGACGGGGAAAGAGCCTACACGGAGATTTTCCACTATTGTTGGTGAGTAGAATCAGTCCCAGGAGAAATTAATTTAAGAAAGACATGAAATAAGAATGATTGTTTTCATCATGAGGAGTGTTAATGATGGTCACTGTGGCGGTAGCCCTCTGCAAGACCAAACGGGAGATTCCCAGCCTCTCGCTCACTATTTTGATAGGGCTGGAAATGGTTAAGCAGTTTGGTGAAAGAAACACCCCTGACTGAGTAAGTCTGAAGAGACCTAGCTAAAATTATTGCATTAGGAGGTGCCTCCAAAAAACCCCTAAAGCCCGCAAAGAATTGTATTGCATGTGCATAATATTTGCATGTCTGCTAACGAGTGCCACTACATGCATATGCCTTCTCCACACACATGTAAGTTTGGTCGAGTCTACACTGTTACTAACGTACTCCAGTGAAGCACGCTGGAGCTTTGGAGCTGATGGGCTGTTTGATACTTTTCAGTGGAGGAGGGACATGAGGGCCTCACACATTTCTTAATGAATGAGATCATTAAGCTGCAGCAACAAGTGAAGGCAAAGGATGTGCAACGCTGTGAACTCTTGGCTAAATCTCGCCAGTTGGAGGATGAGAGGAAGCAGCTGAAATTGAACAAGATAGAGCTGCTGACGTTCCAGGAGCGGTACAACAAGATGAAGGAGGAGAGGAACAACTACAATGATGAGCTGATTAAGGTGAAGGATGAGAACTACACTCTGGCCATGAGATATGCTCAGCTGAGTGAAGAGAAGAACATGGCAGTAATGAGGAGCCGGGACCTCCAGTTAGAGGTGAGAGAAATACTCTGGATTGATTTGGGTTGAATGCTTGGATGGAGGATAGGTAGTGGTCATTGACTTAATGAACTCTTTAGTGACAGTAGACAGCGTGGCACTCTCACTTGCTTTGCTTATCCAAGTGATCAGAAGTTCATGGCTTAATTAAATGCCAGTGCTAGTATTGTGTGTTAGTAAAAGATACAGAGTTGTGATGGGTGGTACTTATTACTCAGTGAAGCGATAGGTGATATTTCATTTCTCAGCATCAATAATATTCTGGGGCAGATAGTCAAGTTCATAGACACTGTCATTTCTTGGCGGATTATTCAAGGGCTCCAGCATACCAGCTTGGCACTGTATTGGGTTGTTCAGGATATGAAAAGGAACTGCTCCAAGAGTATGAAGGCCACACCATGGATATGCTCTTACCTAGGGTGGAGGTTGTTTTAGCAACACATCTACTGGAGACTTGGTGTACTTTGAATTATGTTCTCTCTTTTCTCTCTTCCCTTTTCAATGGCTCGGGGGTGCCCCAGATTGACCAGCTAAAGCATCGATTGAATAAGGTAGAGGAGGAATGCAAGTTGGAAAGGAATCAGTCACTGAAGCTGAAGAATGACATTGAAAACCGACCGAAAAAGGAACAGGTTCTGGAACTGGAGCGGGAGAATGAGATGATGAAGACTAAAATCCAGGAGTTACAATCTATTATTCAGGTAAGCAAGATGAGAGATTATGTGCCACATATTACTACTTTCTACTGCAAAAACCAATTGCCACTCCAATTATGCTGGTTGGAAATATAGGAGCAAACTCTATCCCCAAAACTACAAAGCCTGAAAAAATGGAAAGGTCATATAGCTTCCAGCTTTCTCCAGATAACTTCTTAGAAAAGTATGGACCCAAGATAGAGTTATGAAGAAGACATTTCTAACTCAAGAAATACCAAAAAATCAAAATACAGATGCAGGACTCCAACTCACAAGGGGCAGAGGGCCTCCTTTGAGGTCCTGAGCATTCTTAACTCCATTAAAACCAATGGGCCACATCCTGGCCCCTCTTGCAGTCCACCACAGCAAAGCCATCTTAGTCAGCTGGATTCCCCTGCAGTAGGGTCTCCATTGTCAGTTCTGTGCCACTGTCCACTCCTGGTATAAGGGGACTGGATGAAGAAAGGAGGCATAGCAGATTTATTTTTGCACTCAGGAATTCACCAGCAAATGGAACGGCCCCTAGCAGGGCTGCTGGGACTTGCACCGGGGGCTACGCAGCCCTTGCTAGCTCCAGACTTGTGACAGTGAGGGGCACAAAAGCGGTATACAGCCACTTTTAACCCCATCCGCAGGAGGTAACCTGAGGATCTATATCCAGGAACTCGGCCTCTTGCAGGAAAAGACTTGTGTTCTTGTAGAAAGATACTTTTTAAAGATTGTCAGCATATCCTTATTCCACACGATAGCTGTAGTCTCTGTGGCAGCGTCTAACAAACCGTTCTTAGTTCTGTGCAAGGTCCAGCTCCAAACTTGGTAAAGGTATAATATCTTGAGACTTAGAATAACCTGAATAAGCAAAGACTTATATTATTTTAAAAAATAACATGATGATTACAACAACATCCAGGGAAATAAATGAAATAATTACCTGAAAAAGAAACAACTCCCGCTCCCCCTTCACTCCCCCCATGGAAGAAAAGCAACTTCCATTTTAGAGCTACTTACCCAGTTAACCAAAATATCATCAGGCTCTCCATCCTAATCTAAGAATTTTTAAAATAAAAGTCCATTTTCTTGTTTTCATTTTTCTCCCTTTGATTTCTGCTTTTTGTGGTTATTTTTGGATGGTAATTTATTTCTTTGGGAACTCCCATAGCAAGCTTATTAAATTCGGTTCCTAAAGAAAAAAGTTTCTGGACATCCTTGGAAATGAAGTATTAGTTCTAAGCAGTGATTCCAGTGACTCTAGGCATGTTTAATATTCATTGTGCATAGCCCTGAAAAGTCTGTGCATGGCTTAAAAATTCCTCTGCATGTTTTCTTGGGCCTTGCTCCTTGGCAAAGGGTGAGCTCTATGCTCAGCAAAGGCTGATTAATAGAGAGAGGTTTTGAATGCAGAGTCTGGAATGAAAGATTGTCACCGCATCCAAAATGTATCAAATTATATTTAGTACAATAAAAACAATCCTTTTTTGGTTCTGTTTCAAAACGTTAACAAACATTCATCTCTCCTCCGGCTTTCTCATTGCAATTCCGTACTCATTTTGTGTCTTCTCTTCTTGCCTGTTTCTTTTTTTCTCTGTACCCCTCTGCTTCTCTCTTTCTTTTTCTCCCTTCCTCTCCCTCTAATCCATCTCCATTCTCCTCTCAGGCTGACAAACGTAGCTTGCCAGATTCAGACAAAGCCATTCTGGATATACTGGAGCATGACCGTAAGGAGGCACTAGAAGACCGCCATGAGCTAGTCAACAAGATCTTTAATCTCCAAGAAGAAATCCGTCAAGTAGAGGATCTGAGAGACAAGGTGAGAGACAGACAGAAGGAATGAGATCAGACCACGTGCTTGTCCATGGAGAACCTCTCATGACAGTGTCCAGTGGGGCTTCATTATATTTGTGGGTGGCTGCAGATGCTGGTACAGTAGAAATGCAGTAGGAGTTTGGGTCTGTCCTTTGTTTCCCATCCTGAACTGTACGTCTGATTCGGTTTAGGACAGAGCAGAACCAGATGGTACAAATTCTTCATACCAGTTCATTTTCACGTGGCATTCACTGCTGCAGAGTAAATTACAGTAAAACCCCAACACCATCCAGCAGTCTGAGCTTTCTCACTGCAGTGCTTTTTAGTGCCCAGAAGGTCTCATGTGTCTGTCTTTGTGTAACCAAACGTACAGATGAGTGGGCTCACAGTGGTGAACAGGAATCCTCTCCTGGTAGACAGAGATTGATTGCTTTGAGGTGCTGCATCTGTTGATAGGCCTGTGTCATTTGTAGTACCTCGAGGAGAAAGAAGACCTGGAATTAAAGTGCTCGACACTGGGGAAAGACTGTGAAATGTATAAGCACCGCATGAACACTGTAATGATTCAGCTAGAAGAAGTGGAAAAGGAGCGTGACCAGGTATCTGACATTTAAGGCTGGGAAAAGTAACAATGAAAAATGGATGTTTTCTTTTTCCACTTCTATTGAGAATCATGGGTATCTGAACCCAGAGTCATTATGTTTGTTACATGTAGTAATTTCCATTAGAAAGCAAAAGCTTACAGTTACTACTAACTCGTGGTATTTGCTCCAGTTATCTAAGAGTCTAAGCATATTATAATTCTTCTAATACCACTGGGTGGCATCTGCCAGTCAGGGCTGACTTTTTAGCAACAGCCACTGTATTTAGTGTCAAAGGTTTTAGCTTGCTATTAGTATAATAGTATATTGCCAGCAACTATATATTAGTATAACAGGACATGGCCACCAACCAAGAAGGAGCTGAAATTCTGCCACCACCATCACCATTATTAATTGTATTGCTATGCTATACAGAGGTCCCAACATTTGTGTCCGTTTGTGTACAAACATGTAGGAAGAGGGTAGTGCCTGTCCTGAAGACCTCCTCCATCAATTGAAGATGAGAATCTATGTGCCACAGGTGTCTAAGGCAGTGCTTTTGCCCCACTGCAGGCCTTCCGATCCCGCGATGAGGCACAGACCCAGTACTCTCAGTGCCTGATCGAAAAAGACAAGTACAGGAAGCAGATCCGGGAGCTGGAGGAGAGGAACGATGAACTCCGAATCGAGGTTGTCCGCAAAGAGGCGTGCATCGTTAATCTGGAATGCAAACTCCGCCGACTCTCTAAAGACAACAACTGCCATGATCAGGTAGGGCCAGGGAAGCCTCCTTTCCCTTCAAGACTCTTCAGGGGAAGCATGGTGTTAAGGGGCACAGGGTTTTATTTCTATTCCGTTTGTAAACTGCGCTGTTGAACGGGAACTTCACTTCAGTGTTATGAAAAGCTCTCTGGGGCCAATAGGAGGAAGTCAGCTGAGCTGCTCACTTGAATTCTCAAAGACTTGATGTTTCACTTCTGTTGAGTCTTGACATTAGATGGATGAGAAGGAGCTGCAAAGGTCTGGAGTGCTCAAATGCTGGGGAAAACACTCCAGACAGAGGCGGCCTTAGGGAAAATGGCACCCTGGGTGAACCTGTATTTTAGCACCCCTTCCCCCCCAACCCCAAACCTCCCCTCAAGTCAGTGGTGCTGCCGCAAGCAGAGGCAGGTGGGCAGGGGCACAGGGCACAGTCTGGTGGGGAGGTGGAGCGGCATGGTGCACTGGGCAAGCACCGCTGCTGCTACCCGCACTGCCCAGCCCATCTCCTCCTGAGCAGTGGCTGGAGGCAGGAGTTGGGCTGGGCTGGGCTTGGCATTGCTCTTCCTGCCTGGAATGGGGATCGGCCAAGGTGAGGCAGGGGGAGGGCACTGCCGTGAGTGTGGGCTGCTCACATGCACGTGTGTGTGTGTGTGTGGTACCCCTCTGACCACAGTTCCCTGGGCTATCACCCACATCACCCATCCCTAGGGCCGGCTCTGGCTCCAAACAACTCCTTCTGGGGAGCTTGCCCTACTGAACAGTGTTTAAAGACAACAGAAATCCTCGTGAATCGCAGCCTTGGTTTCTAGTATAAGACTGGAACCACAACCCACCTTATCAGCAGGCAGCAGCCCTATTGCTTGAACAATGGGTATGTGACTTGTTAAGCCTGCCACCTCAACTGCTCCGCACTTGGGCCAGAAAATAACGGGAGGCCCCTAGCAGTTGCAGTAAGCGACTTTCGGTAGCAAATCGTCACTAAAGCCTGTTTCACTTTTCACTCTAGAGTTTCCCGAGGAATCTACCAATTACCATTATTTCCCAAACCTTTGGCACTCATGCCCCCAAAACTAATGGTCAGGAAGCAGATGACTCCTCCACCTCTGAAGAGTCTCCAGAAGATAACAAGTTCTTCCTCCCCGATCAGTCTCGGTTGAAGCGAAGGATGAACCTGAAGGGAATCCAGGTATGTGTGAAGATGAGGCCAGAACTGTGCATTTCAGGGGCTCTTGCTTGTGCTGGAAGACCTGGCCCACCAAGCAGTTATGCCTTTGAGCCTTCTGCGATAACAAGGCATAGCCTTGTATGTGACAGGAAGACTTAAAATCTTACTCTCTGGGTATTTGTACCCTAGAAATTGTGGAGGAGATGCAGTCGGGCTGAACTGGATATTTGCCGTCCCCTTTCTCCTTCCCACATGTTCTTAATACTTTGCTGCTCATTTACATTCCTG